CCAGGGATGTACAAAGCCACGGCACAAGTATTCACCACGTAATTACTAAGAGTCCGTGGATCTTGACCTGTCGAGCAATGAATCGTGGGCTCGAATCGGACTCGTGACATGGTTTTCCGAAACTGTACTGACCTGTGCAGGTAGAGGCATCGCGATGGGTCAATTCCCCGTTCAAGGAATTTCAGAAAGTAGGATTTGAGGTTCTCACGGCAGTGAATCCAAAGACGGCTGTCTTCTGGCTTGTAGCGCACTGTAGTCTGGCAGAAATTTACTGACATTTTGGAGGTCCTTCCTGCCTCCGTCATCAGGGGGGTAATGCACTCATCGCCCTGATGATGTCTACCAGACTACACGGCACTACAACCCACAAGACAGCCATCAAAATAATATTAGAAGCATTTCTGAAGGCCGTGTGGCCTAATCCGGAAGGGGGGAAAGCTGAAGTACGAAATGTGTGTTTCGCATTTACATACGTTATGCATGGTGTAGCTACGTGCTATAATTGCGCAGCTGATGCACAACACTAAAGTCATATTTTACGATTCGTGACCTATGACCGTCATCTCCGGAACGATATTACGTTAACCAGTTGTTGATTCAGTATCTAACATCTTAACCTGGTCAACGTATTACGTGGTTTTCCTCAGTCTTCATGCCGGGATAGCACCTTCAAACACACCGCGATCCATTCCTTCCGCTATTTACTACCATATTCCCACCTCAGCTGTATTCGTCGTGAAACACTCGTGAGTCAAATAACCACCAGCCGACAACTGTCAACTGTGGCCACCCCTCGTTAGTGTTGCACTTGAACTTATCATCGTTTTTGTGCGAAGTTAATATTATAGGTTAAACGAACCCCAGGGAAGGTTAATTCCTGACTTTGCACGAAGCCAGCAGCTGACTGGAAGGCAACGTTTATCTCGTCTGCCCGCATCCGGGCAGGTGCCCCCACCCAAATAGCCCTAGCAACCGTTACTTGCGTTGTAAGCCAGACTCTCGACATCGCTCAGACCAGACGTATCACCCTACTCGGAAATGTTGCTTCTGACATGGCGATGCGCGCAGTCTCTTTCAGCACTCTGGGTTTGTCTGACCAGCATGTATTTGCACAAAGTGCATAAAATGACGTCCAAACGCACACTTCATCAGTAACTTCAACAAATATCTCCTGAAACTTGTCTCTCAATCTTTTCATAGGTCTTCCGCTTTTTCGTAATCTCATCAGACATTACGCACATACTCTACCATTTCCGGCAACCAGTATTTCTCCACTCGTCCCACATGACCCCCTGCTAATTTCGTAAACTATAACTTTTACCGTGGGAAATATATTTCACTGTCCTCTCGTCTTCGTCGTGAATTCTGTCAGATGTCCTACATCCCTCTGAAGTTACGACAAATCTGATTTCTGCTGCTCGTTTTCGCTAGTTTATAGTCCAACATTCCGCTCCACAAAACAGCTACGGCAGAGCCATTAATTACTTCACAGAATTTTAAAAGTATTTATTCTAATTTTTGTCGTTAATGTTCTCCTGACTGCGCCACCTAATTACTGAAAATCTGCTAGCTTCACGTCTACATATGCACACGTGAATACCAAAAACTGTCATATCGTCCCAGGATAACGGTAACGTAGTACGCATGGCAGAAATAATCACAGAAGTGTTATGGGAGAAGCAACTTCGGAGACGGAAGCTCGGGTGGAGGGTGACATTAAAACATCTTGAAGAAACAGAATATGAGCGTGTGTAAGGGAAGCACGTGGCATATGATAAGGTTCAATGGCTGGTTCTTATGATCAAAATAATGAAAATTAGAATTCCATAGAAAGCAGAAAGTCTATCGAGCTGAGCGGTTATTGGCTTCACATGAAGTATCCGCCACGGTACTGGCTTATTATAACCCCACACTTCATGACACGGGAATCGAAAGCGTAACATTTTCAATATAAACGTTTTCCGATGTTGCATGTATTTAAGGAAACAAACTGAAAAATTAATGGTACGTCAATGCAGCCTAGTGTGACTACCGTTGATTAGCTCTGTATGTGCAAGAAATGAACATCGATTGTGCACAGCGATAATCGACAAGAACACTGTTCGGAGGCATGTGTGCTCCACATACAAATAGCTTGCGTGCTTGGTGAGATTCGAGGTCCTTAACGGCGACAAATATAAAGATAGCTGTCTTCTGAGATGCAGGACCGTGTAGTGTAATCTCGTAGATATTGACTGGCACCACCCTCTTCTGAAACATCGGTCAATACCTACAAGGTACGTGATGGTACATCCCAGAATACAGCTATCTTTACACATAAAAAAATCATCGACCTGTATATGCAATGAATTAGCTTCAGAAAGATGAAATATTGTATCTGGAAAATTAGGGTGCGCCTATTACATTGCCGTTCATACTTTCACTCTAAAATCAAGTATTTCTGTCATACTGTTTTACGTTGAGGCCTTCTAAAACATGAACACTTTGCCGCGTGACGTAGTCACGTGCTGAACTAGACATTACCTATAGATAACGGACATGTTAGTTGCTTATGACATCAGCGAACACAACCGCCCAGCTACATGCATATACCGCTATGTCCGTGCTTACAAGATCCTCTATGAAGTAACATTCTGTAAAATGTCGACCATAAAATACGAGAACAAAAATGCGTAGCCACATGTCATACGCATAACGACTAGTCAATATGGATGTAGTGAGCGGTCGAATCTGCTTTGCTTGGTGTAACAGATTTTCGCAATGCAGATTTGAGAAACTTAGCCTTGGTCAACTCAACTTTTCTCAGCCTGGCTTCCAGCAACTTAGCTCTGCGTACCTTTCCTTTGCGCAAATTAACACTGCACACCTAATCTTTGCGTAGCTTAGATCTATGGAGCTTAACTTTGTCCGGCTTAGCTTTGCGAATAATGACTTTCCACAGCTCTGGTTTGGGGAATTTGCTTTCAGCAAGTTTGCATTGAGTAACTCAGCTTGTGTTAGGTTAGATTAGGATAGGTGATGTTCCGTTAAATTAGGTTAGGTTAGGTTAGTACGTTAAATGTCAGAAGTGTTGTCGACTTGCTTGTATGAGATGCACTCTGGACCAGCAACTGTCCGTCAGCTTATATCCTGAGGTATCAACGGAGTTTAAAAATAAACTTCGCATTATATCCGCATATAAACATGTCCGGAGAATTTAATGTTTGTTGTCTAAATACACTATGAAAATGTCTGCTTCACATAAAACTCAGCTCGAGCTTCGTGACACAGAACCTCCCGCACACCAAATCAGATAACGAAAGAGTTGGGGGGGGGGGGAATTGTCCCTGCCGGGAATCAAATAACGGTCACCAAGCCAGCAGTCAGTCACTCAACGGACCGGACCGTCTATGTACGGCAGCCACAAGCGGTGTGCGAAGAAAGCATTTTACCTGGCCTTGGAGACATCTGCAGGACACACCTGCTCCTACGTCCAAGGGGCTACGTGGATTCCGGGAAATGTCAATTGACAACCGCAGCCATTTTCCTGCGGTTCATCGAAGCCAATGCCAGCCAGCACAAGTTCCCGAAAAAGTTATGCCCAGGCCATATCGCCTTAGGGCCCACAACGAGACTATCCTCCCTTGTGCACATCTAAAGCTTCCTGTTTCCGTCTACAGTCCCGGCCCACCGTAACTCACATGCAGAAAAACCGAGACAGAGTATTCTGGAGTCCCGAGTTCCATTCTCTATCCCAACTGTGGGTCTCTGTTCCTGTAGGCAAGTGCTGGGAGAGTGGCCTTCCTGTTCGCCTGCCTGAAGCAAGCCACCACCTCTGTCCTCAGTCACATTCAACAGGGTAACTTAAACAGCTGGGGAAACGACGTTAAATACACGAAGAAACAACGAAGTCGACTGCTCAACATCGTAAACGACGTCAATATAATTAATTCACACATTCACAACACAGATACTTCACTTCACAGCCGAATATCGCAAGAAATGGGTGGGCAAGGTCTGGATTGGACTCAAGTGGTTCATGATCCAGTGTTTGGCTTATGTGAACACAATGAAGTGCCAAGGTACAAGAAGCAGTAGTATGAGTAGTCAGTATCATCAGCACCTGCTTCAACCTCTCACACTTGTCGCTTGCGAATGATGACAAATAAACAAGAGAACTAAGACTTAGGCAGGATAGCGGGTTCAAAGATTCCAAATCCCACAAATAAAAGTATAAATAGAAATGGGCTTCAAAATAAACATTCTTAAACAATAGTTCATTTTGTGATTGCACGTATCACAACCTAGCAGCGTCTTCTTTCGGCTGAAGGCGTCTGAGGAGAACATTTGGACCAAATTACAATTTGGGGGTGTGGATTGCTTTCTTCCGACTCAGTACAGGACCGGTGGTGGACTGGTCCTTCGAGTTCCATGAAAGGCGGGGAGTTTCTTGACGAACTGAACAACTATTAGCTTCCACAGAGTTACGCAGTGTTGTTCCAAACCCATTACCTTTGCGTTTCTCCTTTCAGCCAACACATTAACATAAGGCGCTATTGTGCAGGTGTGAGTCTCCCCCACCTACCGCCTTGTTCGTTACACGGAACACTATCGCTGTTTCTTGAAAAGTAAGT